GGCGGCGGCGGCGGCGGTGGCGGGGGCGGGGGCGGCAGTGGCGGGGGCGGCAGTGGGTGGCGGTGGCGGTGGCGGTGGCGGTGGCGGTGGTGGTGGTGGCGGTGGCATTTGACGGGAAGGGAGGGTAGGTTGGTGGCCACCCCCCAAGCTTCAAGCTCCGCCTGCCCCCAAATTGGAAATTCTCCAACTTCGGGAAAAGCGGTTTTGCCTTAAGCCTGTATGCCCAAAGGAGCATCGAAGCTTTGCACAGTCAAATCGAAGCAGAGCAAGATGTACCTGGCCATATCTGTGTTGTTCGGCAGTATGCTCCACAGGGCACCTTCGCCTATAGCTTGACTTCTTGCTGCCCTCCGGCTCTGTTTGCTGCGAGGAGGGATGCAAAAAGGCCGGCGAAACTGTGGCCGCAGCCGAGGAAGAGAACGATGCTGCTCGCCGCATTTCTCCCATTCATGATTCCCAGGCCCAGCAGTGGACAGCTGCCCATATAAGATGCAGAGCCGAAACAGCTGCTGCCTCTAGCGTCCAAGCGTCCAGGACTAGTTACATTGCTGTGCTGCTCAAATTTTGTCTTACCGAAGCAAAATCAAGCTTCGAACCTGTCTGAGACGATGGCCCTACCAGAGGTTGACACTCCAGAGGAGGTTTCCGCCGAGTTCCAAGTGCCGGACGTCGGGCCGTTCGGCTGCAGGTGTTACTTTCAATGTTTCAATTCCTCTGTTTGGAAGCGGAGGAGAGCTGTACTCACTAGGGTTAGGGGAAACATCTCTGAGGCCGTTTTGAAAGGAGCTGCTGTGACTACTTCGGCTCCCTATACGATTTCAAGTCCTCAAGACATACTCAAGACATCAGTGGGGGGATGACTCTCATGAGCAGAGCAGGTAAGTGATGGAACCCGAAGCACTCGCGGATGACTCAGGAAAGTGAAGCTCATCGCTGCGTGTCTGCACGACCGTGTGGATTGGCAGTCATGTGCTTGCTATAAGCATGTTTCCGTGCATGGAAGCTCTCCTAGGTGCACCAAAGGCTGTCTGTAAAGTTGATATGTTCAGCTTTGTGCAGAAACCCAGCTTGACTTCGCATATCGTGTCATTCCGTAAGCAGACACTAGGAAGAAGCAATGTAAGTCAGTTTGGAGCACGACTACTCCCAAGCCATGGGTCCTGTAATTCATTCTGAACGGCTAGTTTTAACCGTTGACATGACCTCATCCCAGGATGTTTCCACGGTGACGGTGAAGAGTGGAGTCGTGGAGGAGGTCTATGGCCAGGAGGCAGCCAAGCTCAAGGTGCACACCTGGGACACAAAATCCGAAAGAAACCCTCTTCGGGCCCCATGACCGTGGTTGCAGGTCTGTCCGAGTATGAGTATCAAAACCCTATACCGTCTGTTGGTTCGACTGGCCACTCTTCGATCGGAGGTTCATGCGCTGTTGGGCAAGTAGTGTTTGATGGTTAAGGCTTTGCTGAGCTTGGGGTGTTCTGGAGACCACCGACTTCAGCAAGATGGTAGAGCACCTATGATGATCCCATGCTGCTCCAAGTGTACGACCCCTGCGGGATTTGAATCAGGCGCTCCTGGGACAGACGCCGTCGAGTGAACTGCCTTCGCTGGCTTTCCAGTTCGACCATGTCCCAGGCGTGACGAGTGCCAGCAGCTAGTTCACAATGCACGTTTTTGTTTGAGAGCTGAGTAGGTTCAGAAGTGAGAAAAGAAGAGACTGTGCATCACAATAAGTTAGTTACATGGTGAGCCTCCACAAGAAGCAGCAGAAGAACAAGAGGACACTGTCGAACCAGCTACTAATAGCAGAATTCGCAGTGACAGATGTGCCCGAGCCCGAGACATCCCGAGACAGCTTGCATGGGGTTACCCGCGAGACTTGAGGTCGCCAGGCATCGGGAGTCTGAATAGAGAACCGGGGCAACGCCCCGGTATGTTGAACGCAAACATCTTCTGGATGGCTCCCTCGATTTCAATCTGTTGCGGTGACAGTGAAGTCAGTGAAGCAGGATTGCTTTCGAGCCTGTCTGTTTGCCTACTTGCTTCGGTGTCGCATCCCTCTGCACGAGGAATATACTCGCCGTGGTACTGGTACTCAAAGTAGCATGATGGAGGGATCAGTGCACCGAGAAGGAGCTCAATTCGCCAAGTGCCACGTGATGCTGCCCCTGGCTGGGCTCACAACGCGGCAGCTGGACCTCTTCAGCCTGAGGGCATCTTCATAGTAGATTGGGGTGTCTGGAGGGTTGGTTCAGGTCGGTTTCCTTTCTCCATGCCATGACATGTTGTCAAAGAGAGCTTCGGAAGGAGCTGCTGCCTCTTTGGGTGGACACCGCCTTCGAACTGCCGTTGGCGAAGAGCTCACTCGGAGAGGCAAGGCCGCTGGTAGCTTGAAACAGTTTCACACAGGCTGAGATGATGGTCAGTAGGCCAAAGCAGTGAAAATCCATGGCCGTTTGGCGTGATCGCTTTTGTGGGGTGGTCTGATAGGCCATAGGCTTTGCTGGCTTTGTCAAGGAATCCCAGCCATAGCTTGCTGCGGGCGAACTTTTGGACGCAGCCATGACGTGGCATCGTGTCGTTGTGGTACTTGCATGACGTTGCCCCAGGCTCTAGACATCTTAACATTCGCTGCTCATGCAGCTACCTAGATCCTGGTGCCAAACGCCCTCTTGACCATGAATAAGATGCCGAGTTTGTTGACGACGTCGGACAAAGGCCATCAGCTACGAGGCAGTCGTGCAGCTCTTGACAGTGCCGTGGCAGAAGCGGCATGCAACTTATCAAACATAGTCTCCAGGTTCCAATGCAGCTATATAAGCCTTTGTTGGGAGCTCGTTTGTGCTACTTAAACTTCCATTCGTGCACGGATCTGCTGAAGTACATCACTTGACGCAGAGCTGCTTGAGGTGGCAAGGCTGCAGGTCTTCAGTCCAACACTGGTGCTCTTCCCTACCCATCGAGGATACCGTGGTGGATCAGAGCTGCTCCGTGGGAGTCGGTGGCGGTCGCTTCCGTGCCGGCCGTGCAGGGAGCCATGGCATGGTGAACACATGGGAGTTTCCGAAAATTAGGGACCTTATTTTGGGGTCCTTGTAACAAGGATCCTACTATTTAGGGGACTATATAGGGTCCCCTAGTACCGGAAACCCCCACAGGGATATCGGAGAAAGAGAGGCTAGGAGTCAAGTCCATTGACAGGCACCACTCCTGAGTTCTGAAACCAAGTTTGGATGGTATTCCCCGAGAGGACTATGCCAACTTCTGCGATGCAACCTGCGCATAAAGCTAGGTACACATGGGGCAGAGTTTCTTGCAGGGAGATGAGAACATGCAGAGATTCAAAGCACATTACCAGGAACATGCTCCACATGTCGCTGAAGGCGGGCGGATGTGTCAAAATCACCTCGGGCATCCTGTACTATGATGGAGAAATCAGCGTGAGAGCTTGGTGAGTCTTGCTCGTGTCGTTGATGATTCAGTTTCTAGGCATGCCTTAGGAATTCAGATTGTGCGCCTGGTCTTGTATGTCTGAGGGGGGCTTTGACATATCTCCAAGAGCTGTTCAGGTCGAGCGCAGCCGCTACGCCGAAGCTTCGAAGCTGCTGGGGCGGCTCGTGGCTGATGCTGAGCTCCTGGACGGCTGAAAGTGGTTCTGCCAAACACTGTCCCACTCCGTTGATGTCTAGGTCACGATGCTCAAGCCTTGATTGAGGCAGGGAAGGTGCCGCGAATTCCAAGAATGTCCACACAACGCCCTGGGCAAGCTAAGGTTCTCTGTGGATCGCCTCCAAGTCGCCGCCAAGAGGATGCTCAACGACATTCCCAACCACAAGCGGAATGGCAGGGTGCCTTGTCAGTGACTAGCAGATGTACCACATATCAACACAGTGGCAGCGGCAGCACCACGTCCTCAACCGCACACTCCGCACCCAGATCTTTACTGCACACAAGGCGAACAGGAGTCAAATTGCTGCGTCAGGGGCTCATGCGTCTCGCCGTTGCCGCTTTCGACTTCTCGGACGACTGCGCTGTGGGCACAACGCTGCTGGATTGAAACGTCAATTGCTGCTTTGGTGTCAGCCTGGTTGCTGCAAAGGCAGCTTGTGCCTGTGAAGGCGGAGTGTCCTCCTAGCCAAAAATCCATGGCAGCCAAGGTCTGTTTTCCGTGTGGAACAGCTGCTGAAGGCCAGCTGAGGGATATTGCTTGGAAGAGTGATGTACTGATCTACTTCGGCCTGGCGCCAGGCAGTGGCAGAGGATCGCGCCGTGCTGGGGCTAGTAGCCTCGGCGCCCTGGTCAATTACTCGAGTCGTGGTATTTGAGGGCCCTGAACTGCCTGAACTTCGGGCCAGGCTAGCTTCTGCTTTGAGACGTCTACGTTGTTGCGCGTTGATTACCTTTGAAAGTTGCTGGGTCAAAGGCCATGAAGGCAGTAAACAAATGCTATCAACTTGACGGACTTGGGCTCCAGGAGTCCAACGGCACGAACTGAGTACGCCCTACTTCGGTGTGTAATCTCCTGCCCTGCGGAAAAGCCCAGGAGCTTGCGACGCTGCGGAGCACTCTTCTCGTTGCAGCCGGCCAGGCCTACTCGAAATTCTTTGGGCACTCTACCGTGCAGTGGAGCAGAATGGCACAGCGTGGCTTGGGAATTTCAATTACAGTTTCACGAGGGGTTGGCCGCGGAGTCTCCAAGTCAGAAAGGAAATCAAAGCAATCGCCAATGGCCCCCGTCTGCGACTTGTCAGTAAGCGAGCAGCGGCGATTCATTCATTTTATTTTGCACTTCACGACACTAGGCGGCAGCGCAACTCAGTGGTGTCCAGAAAGTGTTCTTGTCCTGTCTTTGCCTTTGGTTTGGTAGGGATGGACAGACAGCCCCTCGTTCCAGCTCGAGAGGCCCGGGTTGCTGGGGACGTGGCAGCGCTGGGCGACATCTTCGGCCCCTGGTCGAGCGGACCATGGGCAGCCAAATTCGGGGGGTCAGGCCCGGCCTGACAAGGACTTGCTAAAACGGTTTCTGAGTGGATGGATGAAGGGCTTGGCAAGGAGAATTCTCTCAAGATACTTGCCGTACTGAATGAGGGTCGAGTTAATGCGAAAGCTGTCCGTCTTGGGCCCAAGGTGGGTATGGCAACGGCTCGCCGGCGCGGCCTTTGCTTGCAAGGGAGCTTCATGCCCTCCGGTCGGACTTCGGTTGTCTGAAACTTTAGAGTGCCTCCTCCACGATAGCAATGATAGCACCCTTTGTCGCCACGAAGCATCCTTGACACATGTTAATGCAGGATTTGAGCTTCAAAACTGTCTAGGAACTCTAGGAAATTTGTTTGTTTCGAAAGCGGCCTTCGTCCTCAGACCTTCCCAAAGCTCCGTCGAATATCGCCCTGCCCTGCCCCCTCGTAATGACCGTTCTCAGGCTCTGGATGCGCTTAAGCCTCCCGATGGGCCGGGTGCCAATGGGTGTTCTCAGCTTTCTGATAAAAATGAAATACACGTCTACTTTGCTGCTGCGATTTAGCGTCCATCAGAATCCGTGCAAATCGTGGCCAGCTTCTCAAGTGATGAAGAACTCTGCGACTCAAAGTCGCCAAGGTCGACCGTCGGCTGCCTCATCACCAGCTCCGCCGAGGACTGCGGGGAGCTTGCAGATTCAGGAGGTCAGGAGTCTGCTTTGTTACCTCTCGCTCATCTAACGTCTCTCTCTCTCTCTCCCTCTCTCTCTCTCTCTCTCTCGCTCGCTTGGGGTCGTGGCTTATCCCCAGGCTGCATGCAAGCAGGATGCATTTTGAGAGGGACAGAGAAAGACCAGGCGTGCAATCCTGAGACAAATCGTGAGGAGTCGAACTACTGGCTGCTTGAGCGCACGTCCTTCTCCGACCCGCGCTCGCCGGATTTGCCTCCACTTTTGGCCACCGGGCGGGTAAAAGGCTTCAGCCTTCCAGTCAAGCCTGGAGATCCTGAGGCATAGACTTCAAGTCTTTGCAGATGCAACAAATCCAAGATGCCTGAGACAAGAACTGCACGTGCTGTTCAAGGCATCTTTCAGTGATACCAAGTCCTTCGTTTCATACACGAGCAATCGTCAGTTCTGGCATTCCCCGAGTCCATTGCTTCAAAAAAAGAGGAGCTGGGCGGCGTCAGTAGTTCTTCCAGCAAAGTTCTTGATTCGCCTGGTGCCTCTATTGCTGCTGCTGCTGCAGGATGCTTCACGGTTGATGCAGCTGCTGATGTCACTACTGACACTACTGCTGCACTGCCAGAGCCCTCTCTCGGCGCTCCAGCCTGTCATTGCCGATGATGTCAGTAAAGCCGCAATGAGGACGACGACAAGTCTGTCGCTACTTGTTGCGCCTTTGCAGTTGCAAAGTTGGTCAACTTTTCATCAGCTGATAGATTGGTGTCCATTTAAACTTCGCGTTGTCATCAGCACCGCACAGGTTGCCATTGAGTACATCACTGCACTGGAGGGACCTTTCTGGCGCCAGATTCGCGGAAAGGGCTTTGCGCCGCCAAACTGCATGGTCAGGGGTGGAGCTGTCAACTATTTAGGCGGGCGCGCTTCTAAGCAGTACGCCTGATGTGCTGCAATGAGAAGACACCGCCACATGCTACATGGGGTCCGATGTCACCGGCAGGATAAGCTTGCGCAGAAACACTTGGGATAGGGATGCCTTACGGCAAGTTTCAGAGCTGGCATGATGTGCTGCTCCAACATGGCACTTTTTTGCATTGGTGCATGCAGAATTGCAAACGCTGCCAGGACAGTATGTTGCTCGTTCACGGTGAACGAGTTTGCAAGTAGTGGTCCTAATGATTTTGGGATGGTGCAGAGAATCATGGTCAGGTATAGCTACGGGTTGAGCCACGACCTCGACAATGGAAAGCTCACCTTCAGGCTGTTCAAGGTCGGATTGGAGTGAGGGGCCGCCATTCTAAAAAATCCCAGTAAAGAAGCCTGATAGCAGAGCGAATCATGTTTCGGAAGTGCTTGGCTGATGCGCAGCTTCCATGAAGGCCACGAACCCGGTGGCTGCTTACCAGGCTGTTCTCGGGGTTTTGTCGCTTGAGTTGCGCCAAGTTGTTTGCGTGCCAAGTGGCCCCTTACGGAGGCTAGAAGCTTAAAGTGGTGCACGGGGAAGCTCGTTAAATTGCAGCCCAGAACTGTGCGAGACGAATCAAGCCCATGCCGATCTTCAGCTTCGCAGCCACGCTGTCCTGGATGCTCCTTGAGGACCTTGGTGTACCCAACTTCAACCTTTCCCTGCAGGCAGCCCGCACCATCGTGCAGAAGCTCTGTTCCGAAGGCCCGCGGGCTCGGGATGATCAAGTTCGTAGAAAAGGTCCACACAATGCAGGGCGCCCAACCATGTTGGCAGTAGAGAGCGGGCACCTGGCTCGTGATCTTCGGGTCGTTGTAGCCAGCCCTCCACGCACAATTACACGGTGCACAATATCTGCAAGCAGGCGATTTCGGCGAGACAGTAGCAACATGAAGGATGTGCTGAATAGTTAAGCATCCGCACAAGCAAGGGTTTTCGCTTCTTGGGGTCTGCAGCACCAAAGGCATCCGTGACCCACTCCCCTACTTCGGCCCCTTTCGTAATTTTTCGTCAGAAGGCTGAAAATAGGAAGGTATCCAAAGAACCGCCAAATAATCCTCGGCGAGGCCCGCCGGAAGGTGATGAGGCTGGAGGGGACGAGGACAGCACATGCCCGTAGAAGGGGGCAATATTTTTTGTTAATGGAATTATGCTTCCCTTTACTGAAGCGAGCTGTCCATGAAAGCTGAGAGCGCCAAGACTCACAAAAAGTTTTTGGCACACTCGGACCAGCCAAGGTGCCTGCACGCTGCTCGTCCTTCCTTTCAGAAAGCAAGTGAGGCACATTCATGCCCAGATCTCCAGCCCCCACCACCGCACAGCTAAGAGTTTCAGGTTGGCCCCGTCCGAGTGCGGCCCGTCCGTGGTTTGTCCTCGGTGCTCGATGTCGCTCTATGTACTCATATCTTCTCCAGTATGGCTCGTCAAAGCAGGAGGGAGATGAAGGCGAGGAGGATGACGTTGGCTTGGATCCCAGCGCCACTTGGCTGCCAGGTCGGCCACTGCAACCGGACGAGTTCAGCAAGGAACGCCGGTTGCTGTAGCGGTCGGATTTACGTAGAGCTCGAGCTCATGATTTGTGCAGCAGCTGCGCTTTTTCGCATCAATATTGAAGAACTTCCCCTGATACGACAATGGTGTAAAGATGGAAACTGACAGCAATGGGACGAATATGGAGCCCCAAGGCTTTGGAAGCTGCACAGAGCTACTTGGCATTCAACAAGGTTTCACGCGGTTGCTTGGGAAGCTATCTAGCGACTTACGCAGCACCTCGCGATGGCTGTGGCGAGTGGCGCCTCCTGACATGTAGGGCGCTTCTGGTCCCGTGTTGAGCTGGCAGTGCGCCGGCTCAGCTTTGTTGATGTTCCCGTGTTTGCGATTCCGGATATGCGGAACCATGTCCGTCGCGCATACAGGCAGAATCGATGCTCAAGCACTGACGTCAGGTGGCGTGCTGTTCGGCTTGATCGAGCCTGTAGACACGGTCCCAGGCGCGCAACTAAGACTCAACGAGATCAAGCCCGCATTCGAGCAGCAGTTTTGCAAGACTGAGATTGATTTCTTCCAGCTTTCTGTCTGGGGAACCCGAGACTCCAAATCTGATAGATTTCCACGGTCTCTTAACTCTACAAAAGAAGATTTCAGCACAAGGCCTGATCTCAATGCTTGATAGAAATAGCAACGGGCCCTTCCGAGACCATGGAAACTCTAACAGATGCCAGAGCCTGCGGTAAGTACTCAAAGCACCACGACCAACTTAGTTCTCTTTTCGGTCGCCCTGGAGTGAGGTATAAGCTGATTCAAAGCTCAGAAGTTCAAAACCTCTTCCATTGCCCAACGACTTCAACGGAAACGGTGCCAGTTCTGTCCAAGAGCAGACCAGCTGAAGAGTTCCTGTTTCCGTGAGATTCCTTAAAGGAGCCATGGGAGAGGCATTTGCCAACACGCCACTCGGATGAGAAGCTCTTGCATGCAGAAAAGATGACACGGCTGCACTGTAAGACTGGGCGACGAGTTGCAACGTTTGACTTGGAGATAGAGGCTGCAACGATGTCCGCCGGATCAGCTGCAGTGGTTGCTGAAAGCCGTGCAGAATGTGACAGAGGCGCAGACCGGCTCATGCCATGCATTCGGCCAAGTCCCGCCCCGCACCATCCCCTCACCTCACCCTTGGCCCTGAGAGCAGCAACACAGAGCTCGAGGAATCCGTCCAGTCTGCCATGCAGAAGCACGTGCTTCCCTTGTTCGACGGTTCCTGCGGACGTACTGCCGCCGCCTTAAACAGAGTTGAGGCTTCAGGCCTAAGTGGACATGCAATTGTTGCTTTGTTGCCTGTGCCAGCAGACTCCCGCTCTCTTGGCGTGGAGTTCCAATTATCGTTTCAGCAGAGCAAGTACTCGCAGGATGAATGAACACCAGTAGCTTTGCATGTGTGTTTGCAAGCACTTTCGTTGGCAGTCCCGTTTGTCCTTGCCAGCTGTGTCTTTTACATGAAAGATGGAGCACCAGCCTTTTGTGTAGATAACGCCTGAGGATTGTCCCAACCTTTGCTTTCACTTTCTCCCAAGGTGTCCATGCTTGCACCGGCGCAGAAGCGCGAAGAACTCGAGGAGCATCCTTGTAGAAGATGGCAACGAGGGCCTGAACCCATGCGTGTGTTTTTCTCATTGGCGCAGGCAACTCAAACATTGAAGTGTACGTAGATAAGGCTGTTGATCTCTGTGAGGCGCGGATATTGCAATGCCTGCTCAGCGTTTTTGTCGAGCCATGGCTCCAGCTTCAAACTGTCACGTCCTTGTCCCACCGACCGTGCGTGCACCATGAGCAGGAAGCTGTGGCCAAGCTGGAGCCGGCGTTCAAGGTTCCCAAGTCAAGTGTTCAGGGCCGTAGGGCCGTAGGGTTTGACTTCAGTGCCTGGCTGCGGGACTTAGAAGACTTCAGAGAAGGTTTGAGCTGGCAGGAGGTATGAGTAGCATCACTGTCTCGCGGCATCCTCTCGGCCAACCTTGAAATCGAGTTCTTCATGAGAGATCTAACACTCGGAAGAGCACATCTCTGCGACCCACCGCTATTTTGGGGTCCTTACAACAAGGACCCTACCATTTAGGGTGCTATATTAGGGCCCCTTATGCAAGGTGCGCCACTTGGATGTCGATGCTTTTGTAAATGTCCTGGGCACGGCCAGCGGCTTCGCGGAGCTGCGGAGGCCACGCCAAGCAAGAAAAGCATGAGAGCGTCGAAAATAAGGGGCACCTGAAATAAAAGGATCCTACTATTGGGGGACTAATATCAGGCCCCGTAGTTTCGGAAACCCACACTTGGTAAGGTTGTTTCCACTGTCCAACCGCAGCAATTAGCAGCTTGCACTTGCGGGCTGATGCAATGCCAGCGGCCAGCGTGCCAGGCTTCTGTCATCGGCCCGGCTAGACGCTACTCGTAGACTGGAAAGTGCTGCCGCTTCCCGACTGGGATCATCCCCCTAATGGACGTAAACCATTCAATCAAAAGCATACAACAGCTAGGTACAACCAAGTGTACTGGTGGGATTCCTCGCAGGACAGTTTGGTGCTGTTTTTGACTCTGAAGGAATTGCAGAAGCTGTTGCAGCATGGCAGGTCTTTGAGAGAGCTGGCCTCGTGCCTCGGCTACATCAGCTTCCAGCTCCAAGACAACCTCATTAAATTAAAGCGGTGTGTGCGCGGCAAGGTTGTGGATGTCTTTCGTTGCTTTCTCTGCTGCGTGTACTCCTGCGAGGTAGAATCGACCTTGTCCGCATCGGCGCGACATGAAGGTGCAAAGCAAGAATTTTCCGGTCTGAGTAGCATCGCAAGCGTATTTGGTGTTTGTTTTGGATGGGGCCCCTGGGCCGGGATTCCGGCACGCAGCATTCGGTGGAGACGACCTCATGAATTCGGCTCCAGTCAGTGTGAGAGTCCATGGTTCCGGTTCATCAGCTTCACTCTTTGGCAAGGTGGAGGGGTACGTCCAGGTCCTCGGATGCCGACTTGGGCAGCCGAGGCCGTAGCCATATCATGCTGAAGCGCTAGGCGCTGGGCTCAGGCTGCATTGGTTTCGGGTTGGGGTTACAGAACCCCTGCCCGAACATTAGCCCATGAGGGTTTTGCTTTCCTGACCGCCTGCTTCGCAGCAAACCTGCGTGCTGGCGATTCTGGTACAGAACAGAGGCTTACAAGACGCGACGAGTCAGGAGACCGAATCTGTTCAAGTTGATCTTTGTTCTTCATTTGGTGGGCAATGCTTACGTTACTGCTGGTTGACTAGAACGAGCAAATCATCAAACGGGAGCTACAAGTTATGTCCTGGGTTGCCCTCTTGCAGTATCAATGTCCTCCCCGTCGCTACCTTGACAGCACGGGGAATGAGCTGTAGCAACCGATGGATCGTAAACCAAGCAGTGCCTTGGTGGCTGGATGTTGGTCGTCAACTTTCTACATGCTACACATAAGATACCACGGAGACGTCGAATGCCAGTCCAGGTCGATCGCAGAGAGTGCTTTAAGTGTTCACTCCTTATTTTGCTGCGGATGTCAAGTTTCAACCCGCATGTCGCGCAGCAACTTGGGCTTCGGATGCAGACGCCACACGGATCCAACATAGGTGTCGGGCAGTTTCACCTGGTTAGTCGCCTCGACACTGACGCACTGCCACAGGGTCAGCTGAGTTTCACTGACTGGAAGACAACCCTTAAACCCCACACCCTGCCTCAGGCCCTAGCGGCCCCAGCAGTTTCCTTCCTCTTCGTTTCATGGGCCCTCCATGCTCGGCAAGCCGCTTCGCGGCGCCCCCCGGGTCAAGAAGAGATGGCAGCTGGAGCTGGAGGGCGAGCTCGCCCTGGCCTCGAAGATTGTGGCTTAAGATTTTAGAGGTGCTCTAAAGGGTTTTGCGGAGCGTAGGCATGAGGTTCAGCAGGCTTCGCAGGTCATGATGGAGTCTTGCCGGGCACTGAGGCAGTAAGTCTCTTGACAAACTCCGGCGCAAAGTGTAGTATTTGAGACAAGCCACTTCGGTCTGTGCATGCACACGCTAACACGGAGTCAGAGAAGGGCAACATCATGCCGCTGGGCCAAACCACCACATGGCAGGAGAGAAGCTTCTTGAATCGAGGCTTAATCAGCTTATCTGCATATCGACCAGACTTGAGCAGAGGCCGGCGACAGCGACGAGGCGAGCGCTTCTCTCTCTGCTCGCCTTTTGGTGGTTTGCAAGGCCCTAGGAGTGCACGGGAACATCCGAGTCGGTACATGACGGGTCTTTGTTTTTCAGATATGTTTCATCGATGCTTCTCGTTCAAGGGTAGCCCTGATCATCAGCTCAACCGCAGCGTTTCGCTTGGCCTATCAGCTTCTACTGCGGCCCCGCATGTAAGTCACTAGACCGACAAGCCGGCAGCGGCAGCAACATTCATACCACGAGCCCTGGAGCCTGTACGAGCGTGGTCCAAAGCCCATGTGACTCGAAGGCTTCACGAGAAATCGAGAAAACATCCAACATTTAAATGAGGCAGCCTGTCCCTGCAATGCGGGGCTGTACACAATTTATCCCAGAGACATCAAACCTGCAGCCCCCTACCTGCAAAAGTCGCGCAGCGCCACAGAGTGTCGCGAAGGACGCCACGCGCCACTTGCTTGTGTCTTCGGTTTCGTTGAGAAGCAGCTCCAGCTGGAGACTCTCAAGGGCCCACCCCCTGCATGTACTGTCTGCGTACTGTTGCAGTTTCAAGTGCGGAAAGCTGGGACTAGGATTTGCATGTCGCAGGGACCCACCATCCCAGGTCCGATTCTCCACTTGCATGGCGCTCCTCAGCCTCGGCAGCCTCCAAGTCGAGGTGGCCTCCTTGCGGCTGTCGTCTTGTATTCGCAGATGGAGCACATGGCGCAAAACAGATCCAGGTTCGAGAGTGGTTTGCATCCCTCATCCCTCGACGCTTCGCACACCGACACATAGCACTTGGCGCAGCTGCCTCCCGGTTGAAATCAAGACGGCTCTGTCCACGTTGAGATGTTATTTTGACATGAGCCAGCAGCCACCCCACAATTAGTGAAGAATGCGGTCAACTCGTGCAAGCATGAAGACCTCACAAAGCCTTGTCCAGCTTGCATTAGTTGACGTTGCCTTCGCCCCAACGAATTGCATATGTTCAGATGCAACAGTAGCAAGGCAAGCAATATCAATTGCCACACGGAGCCTGTAACCAAGGGGAAAGTCGTCGAGCTGCTTGAAGAAATTCTGTCCACTGCGAGGCCACGCAGACTTACGTTGGATGTTTCGTAACTACACTGTTGTCGCCTGTCGATGCTTGACTTGAGGAAGGTCACTCCGACGTGCCCCGACCGCCGCACGTCCACAAGGAAGATCATGACGGCAGGGCCGGCTGGGGATGAAGATGCAATGCAAGAGAGAAGAGAATAGTTCTGAGCAGAGGCAACGATAGACTGCCGCAGCATGCTTTCTCTTCGGCTGCCTTACACAACAGTCGACACTGGAAAAGTGTTAGCCTCTGCGTACGCTTATTTATTGTCGCCTGAGCTTATCCTCGCGCTCCTAGCAGTCCTAGCAAAGCTTACTCCAGACTTTGACACCCGTGGTCCGCGGTCACACAGTATCCCGTTCGGGTGATCACCCAGAATCTGCCAGCTTCACAGGCCTTCAACGCCTTCGTGGTCTGGGCGACTGCACAGAAGCAGAGGCCCCGGTAACACCATGATCATAACAAGGCTCCTACTCCTGCCATATGAAATGGCGTGGATGTTTTGTTGAATGAACTTGATTTTTATATGATGCATCTAGCTCGATTTCTGAATGACTCAATAATCAATGATTCTTATCAAGGCGAAAATTTTAGCAGCAAGCATGTTCAAGATTACTAATGGTGTTGTCGGTGTGAACCTTGCTGGTGGTTTTCATGCTGGTCTTCTTGTTTCCCTCCTGCTGCAGATGCTGATGTTGAACAAAAGAAGCCCTGCACCTTCATGATGATGACGAGGATGATGATGATGATGATGACGATGATGGCGACGACGGTAGCTGTTGTTGGCCTTGCTGCCGCTGTGGCTGCCACTGCGGCTAAAGCTGCTGCTGCTGATGCTTATGATGAGGATGGCCGCGGTGGTCGGCTGTGGTGGCGGTGGTTGGTTGTCGTTGTGGTTGTGGTGGCGGGTTTGTGTTTGCTGTGGTGGTGGTCGTCAGGCGCCGGTGGGATCAGAGCATATCCTTACCTGCTGAAGCAGGCCGCCTCGGACTAGACCTTGGGTTGAAACATGGGGTCTCTGACAGGAACGGCACCGTGGAGTTCGGTGGCTACCACAACACTGGCCCAGGGGGGGTGGCCTTCCTGTGGGCACACCAGGCCCCACCTTGCTGATTGGGGGTTAATTTCTCAAGAGTCGTAGAGAGGCTTCACATTTGATTGAGGTGTCGGACCCTGTCGTTGGGCCAATCTCGGGTGCGAGATGATCCCGTTGTGCTTAAAAGTTAAGTCTAGTTCAACTCCTGGCAAGCCTGGCGACAAGAACTTGTAGGCCTGTCTACGTCGCGGTTTGAGTTTGCTCTGACATGGACCCTGAAACGAGGTGGGTGAGGAGCTGATCTATGCCCTGGACTGGGAGACTCTTGACTGCATGGCCTGAGAGCCAGCGGAAGTGCTGTCGTTTTTGTTTTCCCTCGCCCTGGAGTTTCGTGCACCCTCGGTCGTAAGCTTGCTCGGACTGAGGGCAGAGCTTCACTGCAAGGGCAGATCGCAGCTGGACATGATCGGAGGTGGGTCTTCTCATGCGTGCAGAGAAGGGGAGGCTCAGAGGCGTGCTGTTCTCATGCACCCTCACAGCCCTCACAACGGCCATTCTATGTTGAAATCTAACCGAAGGCCACCCCTTCTCCCAAGGCCCTGTTCTTCGCTTCACTGGGTGCCATAGGCAGGCGAGAGCTCAGGCTTAAAATTGGCTTGATGCCCCGAGCAGGTGCTTTCGTCGGCATTGCGCGTTTGCAGTCGATATGGCCCTGGCCGCCCGTCTCTCATATGAGAACTCGCGAAAGTCTCGACATGTCTCGACCAAAAAAATGTCTTGGTCGGGAGCTGCCTAGGCTGGTGGACTTTGGACAGTTGCCACCATACCGCCTGTACCTGTAGCTCGGGTTCCATCCAGCATGGGTCAGCTGATCGTTTGAGGTTTGGCATCCCAGCTCAAAAACGCAGTTGTCTCGAGCTGCCTTGCCATATGCAGGCTTGCATCCTAAACTTGCCAACACCCGTACGAATTTGGACAAGAGGAAAAAGGTGGAACGAAGACTTCAGCCCTGTTTGCTCTAAGCCCACCCTGCAGCTGGTTCCTACTATAGTTTCTGGTACGAGAATCCATCGAGTCGAAGCACGGTTCTCGACAGACAGTCAGAAGGGTAGCACCAGCCCTGAGCCGTAACGAGGCTCGTGGACTGCTGCGCAACGGCCACGTACGCGAAGGCCGGTTTTGGAGCTCAAAGCCCTGGGCCCCCTGGTTCGTCCAGGGGCCGGTAGGTTGGCACAGACTCAAGTTCCACGCACCGCGAAAACTGCTGCAGATTGTTGCAGTCAGAAGCCCGAGAAAAAGATATACTGTATACTTGTATGGCGTGCAGATTGAAGGTGTTTGTTTGAAGGAGGGGTACAGTATTTCCATGATGCACCTTCACTGCTTGTTCACGTTTTTCTGCCTGCCTTGCGACAGCGGCTGTCTTGTCTTCAGCATCATCCACTCCCTTTCTTTGGCTGCCAGTTTTCCCACTTTAGCATAGTTTGAGTGTGGGTGGCAAACAGTTCGTAGTGCCCCATGATGTGGCCGACTTTATTTTCTCCCGTTACACTGTCATGAGTTTAGTGCGTTTTTGTTTCTTTGCAGATGCGAATAATACATACATATGCATACATACATTACATTGCATCACACTACATAGAATTTGCCTTATATTGTGTGAGATAACATCTCATACATACAGACAGACAGACAGACAGACAGACGAGCAGATCTGCAGACAGACATTAATCCCACATCCATGCATGCAACGACACACATACACACATACATGCATATGCATATATCTGCATACAAGTATGTATGCATACAAACATATGTACATACAATGCATGATTTGTGTTTGAAGTTACAGCTGCATACATAGTGCATGCACACATGGACTAATGTCGCATGTTTTGCAATCCTGCACCAATATGCCGTTTCACGCAGTGCGCAGTTTCGTGTTTGCTGTGCAGGTGCCGGCCGTGATCCCACGCGCCGTGCTGTTCAAGCCAAACCCACCGGAGGCCAGTGACGTGTTGTGCGAAGTGGCAATGCCTTTCGTAGCTGGTAGTAGTTTCATGTTATACGAATCAGAGCAATCTAACCCATACGAATGAATGTTGCTGTGAGTGAGAGCACTGTAGTTGCACGAGTCAGTACGGCTGCGATGATGGCATCCAAAGGCTGTGGCCCCATGGTAGCCAGTATCACCGTTGCTCTGTGACTGAAGGATAGGAAGGAGGATTAGTCATTGATGAAAGAATAAGAGAGGATTAAGGTCACAGCACGGAAAAATACAAGTATCAAAACTTGCAGTTCCGACCTTCGGTAATCTTGCAGTTCTAAGGAGCTGACCTGCACGCAAGAACAGTCCACAAAGCAGCTTGCAAGACCTACGAAGCCTTGAGGTTCCAAATGGTTAACCCGGGCATGTAATTGAGGTCCTGCTCCACCTCCTACGGGGCTTAGCGGTGAATGCTCCGCTTATGGTTGAGGTGGGCGTGGACGTAGGCGCCTGGGCATTCACAGGGAGCGCTGGGAACTGTTCTAGCTGCTGCAGTGCGGATGCTGGTGGGCTGTAGAGCTGATGGAGCTGTCTGCACGCGCCAAGTGGCTGGTATTGATGGTCCCTTCGGCTTCTGTTCCGCTCACCAGGCCGGCACAGAGTCGTTGATTCACCAAGTGGACCTTCCCGGCAGGTCAAACGTCGGAATTCTTGCTGGAAGCAATGCCAAATCTGACACTGCTGCTGGGCCAAGCGGGGATTGGGATTAGTGATTAGTCGTTTCGGTCCAGGAGCAGCAAGCGAGCAGTAGAAACTTGGGCGAAGATCGCAAGGCCCAAGGCATCGATGTACTTGACTGCTACTTTTTTATGCTCTGCTGCTGCCGGGGT